TTATTAGTTAAAAAAGTTTCAAAAATCCAATAGATTTCGTTCCACTTCACAATTGTGTCCCACTTGTTGGTGATTCTTCACATAAAATAAAAAAATTATATATTTATGTTTGAAGCCTGAAATGTGGCAAAAGGTTGAAAAGTTCAAGGGGGCCGAATACTTTCGCAAGGCACTGTACATGCTTGTTTCAAATCAGACACTTTCCATTTGAGAAGCTGCATTTTTTTACTTTTTCAGATTCAGTCTTTAAACTTGAACACAATGGATTATACTATATTTTTTTATGTTTCATACAAAAGGAGCACCAAAATTCCATGCGTTCAGATTGGACTGGAAAAAACATGAACCATTTAGTGATTCACTTAGGTTGGTTAGCAAAAGACAGTGACCCAAGAGTTACAGGCCAAATTATTTGGTTCATTTGTTTAACTGTACATGGGGAAAATCTACATAGAAGGGTATTTTGCTTTTATAAGAGATCTAAAATGAGCTGTTAACCTTTTTTAGGTGAAGTGGTCTGATTCTTCATCAAGCTGTGTCATGAAAACATCGCAGGAACTCGAAGACTTTTTATTTAAGGTAGGTCTGCCTTATTTTTGATGTTCTTAATGAATGAAAGGGAGAGAGAATTATGCAAATGTTTCAATACGTAAGAAATGCAACCTGAAAAGAAACAAATTGTAGTCTGAGCTTGTGCCCTGTGCTTCCTGGATAGCCTCTGGGTTCAGTCTTATCAGGAATACCAGTAAGAGACTTTCTGATGAGATTCACTCTTATGGGACTTTAAAGGATGGCCTCTTTGAATTTCTAAATAGGCAGCACATACGTTATAATGCCCTGGTCCACAGTCGTTTTTTCTGAAAAAATTTCACAGTTCACGAAGGAATTTTCATTATACCATTTCTGCAAGGGTTGCTTTTCTATTCCTTTTTTCATTATATGCACAAGTATAGAAATTGTAAAGGGTTAATAAAGTGATGTTGTTGTTATTAAGTATAGGGTTTAGTACCCCTAACTTAAAACAGTTATGGGTTGAAAAAGCATCCAGGTCGCATCAGGCTACGTACATTTATACAGTATATCCATGATTTCTAAACAGTGGGTGGACACAGTGTGAAGGTGTACCTCTATATCTACCACTGCAAACCCTATGCAGCAGGCTCCATAGTGCCTTATAGGAGGGTTAGCACTGATTGGAGCAGCAGCGCATCGTGTGCTGACATCATTTCAGCTGTAGCAGATGCTACAGCATCTTGAAAGGCAAGAGCGACCTAGTTGACTAACACAAGCTTTATGTTTATGGTCTTGTTGGTCTGTCAATGGCATACTGCCACTTGCAGGGATAATAAGATTTCAACCACGGGTCAGAGCAAGTCTCTGTACTGGCTGAGGCAATTGATAGCCCCCTACCGTTCTGTTTTCAAAAGTACAAACAGTTCATTTTCTCAAAAGCACGCAAACTGTTGTGTATGATTGTGTATTCGTGAAGTCACCTGAGTTTGTGGTTCAAAATAATAATGGTCCAAAGGTACCTTTATAAGATGGGTATGATGTGAAACTGTCATCACTTGCAACTTGGATGTATCTCTTAGTATTATGTTCTAATGATATATATTTTTAGCTTTCCAACAATGTAAAAATTATTCTCAGATACAGGTTTGTTTCTGTGTACAGTGGTCTCTTGTATTCTTAAAACTACTGAAGCAACACTGAAAATGGTTTGCCAACCTGATGTCATTCTTTATCATTTTCCCCTTGTCACTCATCTGAAATGAAGCTTCCAAAGGAGCAGTCCACAGAGTCGTTCGAAAAGGGCATTTTGAGATTGCTAAACAAAGGAGATGAGTTGGAAAGCAGGGAACTGGAGCAAACTTTAAGGTTTGTTGTATTTCAACTTTTTGTTTTCAGCATTGGAGAAAATGTTTGACTTGGCAATATAGAGTATACTATATAGAGGGAGAAAAAATGTTCATAAATGGTAATACTATTTTTCCTCAACAATATGTTCTGTATCACAGTAAATGGTAATACCCTGAGATCCGTGTGGGGAACTGGTGCTCTGGACTCGGAACAGGACAAATGTGGGCTCAAATCCCAGGCAGGGCACTTTTGTTGTACGTTTGAACGAGGTATTTCACTCATATTGCTCCATTAAGATGCACAGTTGTATAAACGGATACAAGTATACATCCACTTGGAAAAATGCATCAACAAAATTAATAAGTGTTTTTTTTTCAAGTTTTTTTATTTAGATCCCAATTTAAGTATATGTTATGGTTAAGTGGGATCCCCCAAAAAAATAAGGCTTACATGATAAATGTATACATTTTGTAAACGTTTTATCTAGTATTCATCTACTATATTTATCACAGTAGAAAGAGAGCCATTGTCTGCAATGTGATGAAAGCTTTGCTTTCAGTGACAATAATGCCACCTTCTGGAGGCTTGAGTTGAATAACAAGTTCCTATTGACAGAGTTTCGTTTTCCACAAATTGAAAGCATTATAGGTTGTTTTGCAGACTTAGGCCTTAAACTAAAAGTCATCCTAGGGCACCAATAAGCTATACTGGCTTCATAAGGCCACAGTCAATAGTACTTTTTACATGCAGAAGAGAAACAGTTGGTATAGACACATTGTCACTGATGACGTTTAACAGTTTGAGTTCAAAGAAAACCAAAGCTTTAACAGTAAATTAGTGAACACTTCAATGATTTTAATGAACAACCCTTTTAACAGATTTAAGATAACACTTTAACATTCACATGCTTTAAAGTGAATGTCTGAAGTTTTTTTTTTTATTTCCAATGTATCTTTCCGTGTTAGTTGTATGACTAGTTTTAGAAATTCAGGTACTTGTTCTGCTCATTCTGATGGTAGAGACTTTGTTACCTGAGTATTAAGGTCATGACAGATCCTATGGAATGGTTTATAAGATTAAGGGTGTTAACCTCAACATCCTGGCTTAATTATACTCCAGGCTTGTTTAGTCTAACCAAGCTAAATGACTCCCTCAAAACTGTTGTTGAAGTAATTTCTCAATTGTCCACTTTAATCTGCTCTGTAAGTATCCTTGTTGGCTTGAGTGGGTGCAGCACTTCAAGTTTGGATGAAGTAGGTCCTCATATGTGTGAAGATCTCTAGGATTCTATGGAGTGAAAATTACTATATAAAGCAAAATAGAAAAGTAATTTGTATTTATGATTATGATATTAACATTTATTCTTAGTACAGTATACTGTACATTTTATTTTGGGTACTTCCTTACATACATTTGATTATTTGATCCAAAGCGTACTTTGTTCAGCCCAGTGATTTCAATTGGGATGCAGTCACATTAGGTGAATTTCCGAGTTCAAAACTCAGTATTTGGGAGCACAAGAGGGTGTGTGGCAAGTAAGGATAGAGAGAATCTGTATTTATTTACACTCTTTCTCTTCCTGAACTCAAAAGTTTCTGAAATCTCCCAGTATGGTTCACCCAGACATGTCAAAGGGCATTGCCCACTTTGAAGTACTCCTTACTGATGTTTGGCTTACCAAGTGTGAAGATTGTGTGTTCCAATAAAATGTGAAAACCGAACACACTACATTGCAAAAAAAGAGAGCAGAAGCACAGAGGTTAAAGCATTCTCTCATCCTGACCCGACACACCCTGGCCGCCTCCAGAATACTGCTTTAGTGTTGTCCTCAAGGGCATTGTGAGTTGCTGCTTTGTGTTGCTTATGTGTTGTTTTAATCTGTGGATAGCCTTTTTTTTACAATATAGCCACTATATGGCTAATTAATTATACTGGCCAGATTATTATGTTTTAATCCAGGGGATCTGGGATTCTGGATATGCGCCTGCTTTTGTTTGCTCTCCATTCCCCAAGTGGAGGCCCAAGAGAACAGGATGCCTGAAAAATAGCCCTTGGTTTCTGAAGGTTATCTCTTGTTTACCACAGGGAGAAGTTTTTATCTGCACCGCAAGCTTTCCGACGAATTGAGAAGGTCTGCAGCTTCTTCCTCTCCGACTCATCCACTCCGAGCTGCAGCCATTGTAAGTCATGAGTCATGGTCTGTGCTCTGCATGTTTGTGCCTTGGGAAATATGTGCCCTTTGAGTTATCATACAATCACAAGACAAAAGGCACTGCCTTTGGAAGCATGAAACACTAGTCTTAAATCTCCACAGCAGGCTTGCTGTGCTTAATTGGTTGGGACATTTCAACCTTCCCTTAGCTAACAGTTATTTCAAGGTCTGCTTAGGCATTTTAATGTGGCACAAAAATGTACTGATTAGTAGAAGAAGAGCATATATATTGTAGAATGTGCTGTTTTGAGTACACAGTTCTAGTGATTTCAATCACAACATTATGAACATAATTTAAAAGAACATATTTCTGGTTCTGATTACTTAAGCAGATTTTTTCTGATGTATTAGTATATGATCAGTGCATGGTGAATGCACAATCTTATAACTTCAGGCATTATTCCTCAGTACATTAGTCTGTGTGCTGGAAGGGTGTTTAAAATATATATCCTTTTTACTTTTGTTGAAGTGTTTAATATAAAATCAGAAAGCACGCGCAATATTCAGGAGCCTTGTTGCAGAATTCACAGCAGTGAGTTTATTTTTTTTAGTTTTTATTTTAAGAAAACCCCAAGTGCCAACTTATGGCAATTTTGTTTACTGGGTTTTGTTTGGAAAAACCTTTTCATCAATGTAAGCTGAGACTATCAGCGTGGAGTCCTGAGTTATAACTCAGTCTGGATGTCTATAAGATGGCAGCTGTAAATTGACCTAATCTGGTGTAGCTTGTGCAGGGCAATCTTTTGGGTAGTCTTTGTTTACCCATACCTTTTTGAAATGGCTCCTACAACAGTCTGTCCTTCAGCTGGGAGGTGAAGAAGGTCACCTAGAAACATCTGATGATCTTAGAATCTCATGGCTAACTGGACCACCTAGTTGTATGAAACTAGGTCTTGCTTAACTAACTTCCCACAATTCTTTGAAGAAATAACATCAGTAGTGGATCATACAATATGGTATGCTCAGATTTTAAGATATGTTTTTGCTAGTACCTTTGTAAGTTCACTGTAAAAATTTGTTTTAAAATTGTGGGCAGTCTAGAACTGAGAAGTGGACAGAAAATAGGATACAGCTAAGGAATGAGTGCTCAGAATGGAGATATGTAATTAGTGTAGAATTTCACAAGGATCTGTATTAGAACCACTGCTGTTCATGATTTATATCAGTAGATTCTGGACAATAGGGAGTAGTAATTAAAAATGAGCAATGACAGGATATTCAGTCATTGAAAGTAAAAAAAATAAATTAAGGGGATATGTTAAAAATGATCAAAGATCGAGTAAAACGTCAGTTCACAATATTTTGTTTAAAAATAATATTGGTGCTCTGCAATCAACCTCAGAAGAAAAACAAGATGTATTTCACAGTATAAAGGAATACCCTACACTTAGAGCCAGAAGCAACTGAGTGTTTTTAGTCTGTAACAGAGGAGACTACAGAAGACTACAGAAGTTAACCTGGTTCAGGGCCTGGACAGCTTGCTATCATAGAGGGAACAATTAATTTAAAATTGTATCAAGAAATTTTACAGGAGAATTTCAGGGTAGTGATCCGTCACCTGAAGCGTATTAGAAGTTGGGTGATGCAACAAGACAGTGACCCAAAACACAGGAGTAAATCAGCAACAAAATGGCTTAAACAGAAGAAGATGCATGTTCTGGAATGGCCAAGTCAGAATCCAGATCTCAACCGAATTGAGGTGCTGTGGCATGACCTGAAGAGAGCTGTTCCGCAAGGAATCCCAGAAATATCAATGAACTGAGGAAGGAATGGTCTACAGTTCCTCCTAACCCTTGTGCGAGTCTCACTAGCAGCTACAGGAAACGTTTGGTGGAGGTTATTGCTGCTAAAGGAACTTCTACCAGTTACTAAATACAAGTAACTGGTAGTAACTGGTAAAATCCTCAAATGCATTAACAAAGTTAGGTTAGTGGACTTCTTCAGAACCAACTACAAAACACGAACCAGTGGGCACAAGTGGGGACTATGGGGAAATGAATTTAAAATAAATAACAGGAGGCACTTTTTACACAAAGGATTGTGGTGAAAATGGCATTAGAAATAAGCAATGTTGTGGAAGCCCCTGTGTTCTTTCAATAATTGTCTGGATTAGATCCTTGGATCAATCACTTACAAGTAAAATACTAGGCAAAATATACCGATTCTCCTTAGATTAGAAGCGGACTATGACTTCGGGCAGATTGACTGAAGGGTTATTTTAACTGGGAAAGGGATAGTATAAATATCAAAAGGAAGAGTTTAAAAACTGGTGGTGAAGATTAATAAACCTTTTTATTTGCTCATCCAGGAGTGTTTCTCATGTTGAATCCTTGGTGGACAGGAATAATCCAAGTTTTTGATTTAGTGGTTTTAAAACTTTTTTAAAACTTTGTCTTATATCTATGTATGTCTCTTAAAACGGTTTGGAATAATCGTGACAAAGAAAGTTCTAAATTCTTGTTCACCATGCTGAATATTATTTCTTCTTGATAGATTTGCTAGTATCAGCTGGAGAGCCCCTAGTCATGGGTGTTCAGGATCTGAGAATATCTGTTCTTGAATCAAGAAGATAAGCAGTTCAGTAATTAGCTTAACAGGACCTGTTAAGTTAATCTTTTCACCCCTTGATATTTTCACCCTGTTGGGTGCCCAAAGCACTTTACAAACAGGAGGAGACCCACTTCTAAAGTGCAATTCCTATCATAAGGCATTGTGCTCTAGAAACCCCAAAACTCAACAGATCAGGCAGTTGAATTAAGGATGAAACTTGTACAAGTAAGGAATGTCATATTGTACAAGCCAGAGTGGAATTTAGCCATATACTGGAGTTAACTACCCTAAAATAACACTAACCCTACTCCTACAAACAGTTTGGAATCTTTAATAACTGTGTAGTCAGGACCACAATTTCTCATCTCACGTACTGTGCCTCCTGTAGCAAAGTGCATCGTTTCTCTTATCAGCACGTTAGAATATTGATTTAGACATTGCTGATCAGAGTGAAAGCTGCCAACTATTCATTTACCAACACCACTTACAACAACAGCCTATTTTTTCTTGGAGGTCTCCCATCCCAGTACCACCTAGGCCCAGCCCTGGTTTACTTCTGGGAATCAAACAACATCAGTTTAAATTCCTAATTCAAGCTTACTGTGCAACCCTGACCAATGTATTTAACATCTTTTGTTTTTGTCGTTAAGATGAATTGCTTTGCAGTGTCCGATTATAAGCAACAAAACACACTTTAATGCATACAGCAGTTCATCCCCCGGTCTTTGTAAACTGTTCTGGGTGTGTGTTATCATAATGAATAATTATTGTAGTATTATTTAATTTAACATTGGCGGCTGAAGAGAAACCAGAACCCAACCTTTTAAATGTGTCTTTGACAGTCATATATACTGTATAATTTAAAATTGGGAGGAGCTTGTAAAAATCATGTTAACTGCAAGTTGGTATTCAAATGTTTTTATTATAGTTTTCAATCTTAGTTTAAGTTTAAATTCAGTGGGAATTGTGTCAGACTCCTAAACACATGAGAAATTGTTCTGAAATATCTGAGAAACTAATTGATGATCTGTTTATACAGTTGCAAGAAAAAGTTTATGAACCCCTTTGGAATTACTTGGATTTCTGCATTAATTACTCATAACAATGTGGTCTGATCTTCAACTAAATCACAATAATAGACAAGCACAATCTGCTTAAACAAATAACACAAACAATTGTACTTCTTCTTGTCAGTGTTGAACACGTTGTTTTAACATTCACAGTATAGGTTGGAAAAAATATGTGAACCGCTAGGCTAATGACTTCTCCAAAAGCTAATTGGAATCAGGTGTTCCAGTCAATCAGATGAGATTGGAGGTGCCCTGCCCTATAAAAAAGGCACACAAAGGTTGGTTTTCTCAAGAAAGAACTGTTCAAAAATAATTCCATCCTGACCATGCCCCATGCCCCGAATAATATCAAAGGACTTTAGAAGAAGAATTGTAGAGATGCATACAGCTGGAAAAGGCTACAAAAGCATTTCTGAAGGCCTGGGTGTTCATCAATCCACAGTAAGACAAATTGTCTACAAATGGAGGAAATTCAGTACTGTTGCTATTTCCCTAGGAGTGGGTGTCTTGCAAAGATCACGGCAAGAGCGCAGTGTGCAATGCTGAAGGAGGTGAAAAAGAACCCTAGGGTACCAGCAAAGGACCTGCAGAAATCTCTTGAGCTTGCCAAAGTCTCTGTTCATGTGTCCACTATGAGAAAAACACTGAACAACAATGGTGTTAATGGAAGGACACCATGGAGGAAACCACTGTTTCCAAAAAAACATTGCTGCATGTGTCAAGTTTGCAAAAGACCACCTAGATGTTCCACAACTCTGCTGGGACAGTGTTCTGTGGACGGATGAGACAAAAGTTTAACTCTTTGGCAGAAACATGCAACGCTATGTATGTAGAAAAAAAAGCACTGCACACTAACACCAAACTCTCATCCCGACCGTGAAGCATGGTGGAGGGAGCATCATGTTTTGGGGCTGCTTTGCTGCCTCAAGGCCTGGACAGCTTGCAATCATAGAGGGAACAATTAATTTAAAATTGTATCAAGAAATTTTACAGGAGAATGTCAGGGTAGCGGTCCGTCATCTGAAGCTTATTAGAAGTTGGGTGATGCAACAAGACAATGACCCAAAACATAGGAGTAAATCAGCAACAGAATGGCTTAAACAGAAGAAGATGCATGTTCTGGAATGGCCAAGTCAGAGTCCAGATCTCAACTGAATTGAGGTGCTGTGGCATGACCTGAAGAGAGCTGTTCCGCAAGGAATCCCAGAAATATCAATGAACTGAGGGAGGAATGGTCTACAGTTCCTCCTAACCCTTGTGCGAGTCACACTAGCAGTTACAGGAAATGTTTGGTGGAGGTTATTGCTGCTAAAGGAAGTTCTACCAGTTACTAAATACGAGGGTTCACATACTTTTTCCAGCTTGGATTATAAATGTTTAAATTATGTGTTCAATATTGACAAGAAGAAGTACAATTGTTTGTGCATTACTAGTTTAAGCAGATTGTGTTAGTCTATTATTGTGACTTAGTTGAAGATCAGACCACATTTTTATGAGCAATTAATGCAAAAAATCCAGGTAATTCCAAAGGGTTCACAAACTTTTTTTTGCAACTGTAGACTTGATATGAATCTAGTTATACATTTATAATGGGAGATTTCATTCCATCCTTCTTACGATCACATTAAATATTGTCTCTGCTTAGATTTGATTAATGGTTGGAACAGTTGGAAAATGCACATACTGTAGATTGTAAAGATTTGCTGTCATTAATTTGACTTCCAATGCTATAGAATGAATATCCATTAGTCTGTATTTAGAAAAACTATCATATACAAACAGCCTGAAAACATACTAGACTTGATGTGTTGTTCAACTCGTACCTAAGATTGCCAGTAGACACTTGCCCGTAGTGACTGGTAAAGAACACAAAAAATGTAGACTGAAAATTAATGTAAAGGCAGAGAGTCCAATTCAGCCATTACATTTCTAATGAGTATCAAAGAGTGTTAAACAATACAATGACAATGACGACATGGAAATGAACATATTTATTCATCAGTTTATACAAAGAGTTTGACCAGTGCTGTTTCATAGTACTTAATCATCGCATTGCTCATTTACTGTATATTACAGTGCTATATATACAATGTTTTTAAACTTGATTGCTATTCACATTTAAACAAGTGGCTGATCTGTTTTTTAATTTGAGTATGTAAGTTTGTACAATCTGAGTAATTGGAATTTCAAAATACAGACATTACTGTAGTGACAGTACATTAATATTTTAAGTATTAAAAGACATTTTATCAGCCTGTCACCTTTTAAACATTTTTATCTTTCTTTAACTGTCAAGTTTTTGGATAGCACGTGCATGACTCATTATTAAAGTTTACAATATTTTTTTTTTAAATTCATAACAGACATTTTCCCTCTTAGTGCCTATAATGTTGTACTTGGTGTTCAGTATAATATCCAGCAAGTTTCTGGATTTTCACTTATATATTATAATATAGAAACTAAGATGTATAAATGAACTGCAATTCTAAAAATTCTGTATGATTCAAATTCTCTGGTAATTTTAAAGCCATACTAATATGACTAATTGCAATTTGTTTTCAGTGAAATGTCCATATTACTTATTTTTAGGTCATTTTCATTAGCAGTTAGACAACATTAACTACTATCTGCCAGGTGTTTGTCCAGTCTTGAGTCTTATAAAAATCTTTCTGAATTTGAATTTACAGTTAAATGTCACGATGAATCCCAACCGAGCCGAAACAGGGGAACTTTCCCCACATGTTCAAATCTGAAAGATCTACAAAGCATCATCCGAACTGTAATTACGAACTGTAATTTTACCTTCATCTCAGAATAAAATTATTCTGTGCTGTACAGGACAAGCAACAACAGCGGTAGTCAGTGAAATGATGTTGGGAATGTGCGTGATAATGGCTGTTATCAACAAACAAGCTTAAGGAGCAGCTTGCAATCTCTGTTCACTGTACTATTCCAGACACTGGTTCACGTTTTCTGTGATTTAGTAAATTTTAAAGGCTTTCAATGCTGAGTCCATCACAGAATCAATACAACACCGCAGGGCAGTCAATGAGTTAGATCTTCTTGGTGTAATGCAAACTTGCATCTAATGTTTCCTTTCAGGCTTGTCTGTGAATGCTCTCATAACAAACATCATAGCCGTTATTCTGTACCTTACAGATTCTAATTCTGTTAGTGCAACCTTGAAACATACCTATGATTTATTGCCTTTTTATTTGCCCTTCTCTTTTGAGAAAAGGAGGCGGTTTTCATAAGCTGCTCTAAGAGGAGGCAGCTGATCAAACCAATGAGTAATGAAAAAAAAAACTTGAATGAACATGAGAATAAACACAAACTACATGATAAAGCCAGGGCCCAAACAACACCATTCACTTTCAGAAAGCAACAGAACAATGGAGGAAACAAAAATGCACAGATGATTTTGTGGCTGAATCAATAGGTTGTATAAGTTACAATTTCAGTACACAATATCAGGAAGGAAATATTTTTTTTTGTTAAAACCTTTTGTTAAAAGTTTTTGAACTTGCAAAAAGATGTTCTAGTGCCTAATCTGCTGAAAGGGATTAATGTGTACAAAACTCTCTCAGCTGACTTACGTAAATGTGTTTCTAAATGTAAAATATAAAAGCTAAGCTCCTTTCCGGTTGTGTCAATTAAAAGGAGTGCCCAGGCATCTTGTTAACCAATGGCCGTCATGGACTTCATTTCAAAGATGCATAACTAAGATACACTAAGTAAAGGTTCTAACTATCTTTTTAATTATGGTGACAGTAGTAAAGACAAAAATGGTCCAATTTACTGCTAACACCTGTTTCTAATCCTGCAAAAAAATATCTATATATATCATTTTCAATAATCCATTTTACAATCAACTAGAAAGTTATTTCCTGTAAATACAACATATAATACATTTCTTGCTACATAGCTTTCTTTAGTTTTTAGTCATTTCAGCACTTAATGTTTTTTTATTTCCATAATCTCACTGCATTTAGTGATTAATTTTACTTCATAACAAAGTGCTTGTTTGTACTATACTGTGCTAAAACAAATAAGAATATATTACATGGGGATGTGCAGTGTGTATATCAAGAAATATTAACATTCCCATCATGGTTAATAACCATACTGAACCCCCTGAAAAGAAACACGTTAAATTATTACCACTGTAATAATTTAACGTAACTGTCTCAAAGGTTAAATTAATTCACTTTTGATTAGTCTGCTGCATCAAGGTTGTTATTTTTTGCTATTTTGGTCAGGTTGGGAGTGTACTGTATGTGTGTTTCTGTTTGTGTGTCTGCCCTGTGATGGACTGGCGTCCCATCCAGGGTGTACCCTGCCAAGAACGGGATAGGCAATGGCTCCCATGCAACCCTGAGTTAGAAGAAGCAGTTAGAAAATGGATGGACGCTCAGGTCAGGGATAACTATGATTCTATTTTAAGGTTGTGGTTTTTAGTAAAAAATAACACTTGATGTTCTGTAGATACTTAGTGTATGTTTGGTGGTGAGGTGGGAGTTCCAGGTCCCTTTGGTACATAGCAACATGCCTGGTCAGTGCACTTAAACAGTGAAGCAGATACAGTAGACTTGCATTATACGCAGAATATTTACATGTTAATTAGTGAATACATGGTCATAGACGAAAAAAAATAAAGCAGTGCAGGAAATGTCACAAATTCAAATCTGGTGTGGCATGTACAGTAGCTGAGCTACTTACAGAACTCCTCAGGTCAAAACCGGTGTTTTCTTTATCATGTGGCATCACCCTCAATATGGCTCGTAAACCAAAAACAAGTATAGAGAGGAAAGCAAGTCAAGAAATGTTGCCTGATTTGAAGTTAAAAATCGAGATATTTAGCATGTTCAGGGATGGGATGATGATGATGACCAGTTTGGCGTGTCTATGTGGCGAGAATGATGTTGGATTAGTTCAGTCAGAGATGATGAGAAGGTTACTGTATTTGTGAGAGCTATGCATCTATTGTTTTCTGTGCATTTTATTATTATTAAATTTCATTTTGATCTTTATTGTATTTGGTAAAATACTGTATTTGCTGTATTACTGTTTTAATAATATTTTAGACTACATACAGTAAACACACATACTAATATACCTATGATTGATTTTACTTATTTAAGTGAGGGGAATGGGAGGGTCTAAGGGGGGTGATTATACACAATTTGGGGTGTATGCACTATGTTAGGAACCTAACTATTGCTTAAAACACAAGTCTCCTGTATTCCCAGTGCCCTTTCACTGCCAGTAGAAAAAGATCCTATGCATTGAACAGCTTCTACATGGCAAGATCTTTGCTCTGGAACTTAGTTTGAATGAAATGACAAGTGCCTGTTTAGCCATGTAGTGGAGCTTTTGGGAAGCTAGATTCTAGACAGTAAGTGACATTTAAAAATAACCTTTGGAAACTAAGAGCTTTTGCTTCTTGTTAGTGATTCATAGTCAATATGTAGTTACTGCTCAACCCACTTGTTCCAGCCTTTTCTTTGATTTTCGAGAACAGTATAAGCTCTTTATAAAACTCTGCTGGGAGCAGCCTAATTCTGTGGTGCTCACACCTGAAAAGTGCGAAGTGCTGCCTGTATGATAACTATAATTAGCTAGTGATAATTATAATTTAAAAAAAAGTTACAGAGCTGAAGAAGGGTAGTAGTGTATATGTGGGGATTTATTAATATTCACATTTGTTGCTTAATCATATGGATCCCCCAAAAAGAAAAAAAAGGTAAAATTGTTGCAGCATTGTGTCTGCAAAGTAACTATTTCAAATATTAAATTTGTTTAGTTCTAAGTGGTTGTCTGCATCGGGTTGTAGTTTTTTTTTGTTATGTTGGGCTGCAGACAACTGGTTCTGTTTTCAAGTGGGATAGAGCTCAGTGGCAGCGGCTCAGGGGCATATCTTCTGTAGCTGAAGGTTTCATTGTGTACAAAATTATGCACCTTCCTCTAAAAGCGAACGTTGTGTAGGTCAGACTTGCGAAATTATGTACCTGTGTTATCCTTAAAAAATGTTCTTTCTGTTTCCTGTAGAACAACAGTGATCAGTATGCTGTTTTTTAAGTTGAATCCAGAAAGGCTAGCAGTTAATTAACAGGTTTCTGATTGTGTAATCAAGTGCATCTGTTTTTCCCTGTACTTGGCTTCAAACATTTGATTTACCCTGCTGTTTTGTATTGAAACAGCACAGTGAAATGTTTTTCACTTGTTTTTGTTTAACGTCCTTGGGTAGTTGTGGCAGTACTTTCTGTTTTCTTTTGCAGGTAACTTACAGCCCCCAGGCAAACCCTTTAAGACCAACGAGCACTTTAAAGAAGACTGCTCAGAAGCATCCAGTCAGGAAGAAGGTGTGTGCATTTGCTTCTGATACAGGACCGATTTACCAGGTCCAACGCTTGATTAGAAGGTGTTCTTCTTTCTTTTACCCCAAATCATCTGCTGAAGTAGTGGGGTATCTCATGCAGATATTTAAATTAATTCTTAAGTAACTGGAGTTGAAAAGTGTGCTGAAATTTAGTTGAAACAATAACCACTGAGCACCAGTGAAAACAATTTGGAAGTGCATTTAAAACTAAGAACAAAGGGAATGAGGCACAAAGGGACGTGGGAATCTGGTGCAGGTTACCATATTGTTGAAGCTAATGCAAGAAGGTATTAGACTTGATAGTAAAATCAGTTAGCTACTAGCAAACAAATAAGTTAAATAGTTCAGATAGTCTCCTCCCTTTTGCAGTCTTTCGTTATGAAAGCGAGAATTGGTGGGTGACTCGAGGCAAAGTCTGGCTGAGAATCAGCAAAAGGGTGACAGTTTTAATTTCTTTCCACTTTACCATTTTCAAGTAAAAATTTGGAAGAGATTGAGGCTCTTTCTGTTTAACCCTTCATTTTGTTTCAGTTAGGCTTCATGACTGGTAGGATAATCTTCCCTTTCTTAACATAATCCCTGTCTGCTGTTTACATTTAAGTATTTACCTTGATTAGGTGTTTACTATGGATTTGAGATTTACTAACTATAAAAGGACACCTTTCTTTATAAAAAAATGGATTTGTTGAATCCCTTTGTTGGTACCTGTTGATTATTGTTTAGGATTCTGTGAATTTAATTTATACTCTCTTGTTTAATGCCAAGTGAAGAAAAAGAGTGGGCTTTGTAAATGAAGAAGTTGTCTTTAATAAAAAATAAGATCGGATATTTCATTTCTCATAATATACCTTGAACCAGCCTCAAGAAGGTTTCTTGCTCAGATTCTGTTCTTTTGGGCTGCAATGAGACTAAACTGACTAATTGAACAAAGTTCTGCTCTCGAGTTATAGAAAGATATTTAGATTGCTTGGTTACAGTATTTTATGAGTAAATGTGTTCCCTTATTCTCCAAATTCAGATCCCCATAAAGTATTCACAAAACTTGTCCAAAGAGATTACCATTTTAAAAAAGGACGGAAACCCACTGATCATATCCAGAGTAGATGTGCGTAAAGTTTTTAAAAAGACCAATCCACGCAAGGCTCCTGGCTCTGATGTTATCCCTGGCCATGTTCTGAAGGCATGTGCAGACCAGCTGGCAGATGTCTTCTCGGACATATTCAATCTCTCTCTAGCTCAGTCTATAGTTTCTTCCTGCTTTAAGAAAACCGTCATTGTCCCTGTTCTTAAGAAACCCAGAGCCAGCTGCCTGAATGTCTACTGCCCTCTTGTACTCACATCATGAAGTACTTCGAGCGGTTGGTCAAAGCATACATCACCTCCTCACTGCCTGACACCCACTGCAATTTGCGTATCGCCTGAACAGGTCAACAGAAGATACTATTGCCACTCCCCTCCATACTGCCCTCTCACACCTGGATAAGAAAGGAACATATGTGAGAATGCTGTTTGTTGATTACAGCTCAGCATTCAATACCATGGTGCCCTCAAAGCTTGTCATCAAGCTCCAGGACCTGTGACTGAACACCTCCCTCTGTAATTGGATCCTGGACTTCTTGATGGAACGTCCGCAGGTGGTGAGGGTGGGCACCAACATACCCTCTACCCTGACTCTAAACACTGGAGCCCCCCCAAAGGCTGTGTGCTTAGCCCTGTCCTCTACTCCTTATTTACCCATGATTGTGTCGCCAGGCATAACTCGAACTCATCATCAAGTTTGCGGACGATACAACAGTCATCGGCCTGATCACAGATGGTGAAGAGTCTGCGTACAGGGAGGAGGTTGAAACCCTGGCAGCATGGTGCCAGGAGAACAACCTCTCTCTGAACATCAGTAAGACTAAGGAGATGATTGTGGATTATAGGAAATACCAGGGAGGAGATCACACTCCTATCTACATCAATGTGACTGAAGTGGAGAGGGTCAGCAGTTTTAAGTTCCTGGGAGTTAACATCTCAGAGGACTTAACCTGGACCCACCACACCAACACCGTGGCCAAAACAGCATGGCAGTGCCTATTCTTTCTCTGTAGACTAAAGACATTCTACAGGTGCACTATTGAGAGCATCCTGACTGGTTGCATCACTGCCTGGTATGGGAACTGCTCCGCCCGGGATCGCAAAGTACTGCAGAGGGTGGTGAAGTCAGTACAGCTCATTACTGGCTGTGAGCTACCAAACATCCAGGATATCTACTCAGCTAGATGTCTGAAGAAGGCCAGGTCCATTCTCAAGGACCCCAGTCATCCCAGTTACAAACTGTTTTCCCTCCTACCACCCGGTAAACGGTACCAAAGCATTCGGTCCAAGTCCAGACTACGGAACAGCTTCAACCTCCAGGCAATAAGACTGCTAAATAGCCAACCTGCAATGGCTACATGGACATACAGTTTTCATTATATTCAGCATACTGCACTACTTGTGTACAGTATATTGCATACACCATAGACACATAGCAGCTCTACTCATATTGAGTTTTATTCAATTTCTATTACATCTATTATTATGTAACCTTAATTTTGTGATTCTTGTGAGTTTTGTGAGCTCGCAGAAAAGACATTTCATTGCCAGCAACTACCGCTGAACGCTGTATTGTTGTGCATTTGATAAATAAACTTTGATTTGATTTGAATTCCTTTGAATGGGTTTCTGGGGGCTTGGGGTTTCAACTGTGCTCCCAGTAGTTTAGGCATGTTCAGCACTAGTGCTTCATTCACCACAGAGCAGGCTCACACACACAGAGGGACTGCATCCTCTTGACTGTTCATGCTTTGGATCTCCTGGTGGCTTTTGGAGTTGAAAAGCTTTTCTCGGAATGGCAGCCGCCAGTCAGTCACCGTCCTGTTTGTTTCCGTAGATCTGGAGCCGTATGTGGTGGGGCCTCGGAAGAAGCATGGCAGCAGCAGCAAAAGCCCCAGCCTTAGGTAAGTTAGTATCCTACTCCTTGCTGTTTTCTCTGTGTTAGCTAGTTGAGATGTTACTAAAAACCCTGTGCTTTTCCCACCCTTCAAAGCATTCCAGGTGCCAAGTGCTCACAGGCGGAAGTGCGGAGGACTCCACACTTGGAGCTCAATGGGGTGGCCGACTGGCGGAAAAAAAGCTGTGTCCTCAAGACAAGTCTGGAGCCTTGCACACGTGCCCCAGAGCAGGTATAATAAAACTGTAATCTGTGCTCGCAAGCAGCCTGGGGCACCCATGTTTGTAGGCCCTTCCTTACTGTTTATCTGCTGCATCTCAACAGGTGGTTATCAGAAAGCATATATTTCACTAAACTATTGCATTTTATTCCTTCACACCAGATTTCTAGTTTGTTTTCACATCTGTTTTTACTTTGCATTCTGTTTTTTGGTGTCATTGTGATGGCTATTAAGAAGACCTGAAAAAAGATCAAGTTTTGTGTTACACAGAATTTCACTATAAGTGCATGTTCTGGATGAGTCTTGATTACTGGAGATGACTGATTGGTCTGCGGCTGTGCAGGTCACCATTTCGAATCGATTGTGCAATACCATAATTAGGATAAAAAGATGTTTGGCCTGTTGTGCAACAGTTTTCCACAGCTGTCCATCTGCAGTACTGGATAGTGTCATTGTGTAATATGCATGTCCCCCAGTTGACACAAGATCTGCCTTGTATCTTTCAGAATTACTGTGAAACACAGAAACGAGTCTGACAATGTGGTTTAAAGAATTGTCTTTTTCTAACACTGCGAGGGGGCAGTCATGGTAAATAGGCTTTGAAAAGTATACAGTATATTGGGCTATTGAGAAAGGCAAAGTAAGCGACAATTTTATTTTATTTCTATTTTACTAAGTGCTTTCTTAGGCTTTACTGTTTCTCTAGGGGCTTGCAGTAGAGGTTTATTAATAGGCTGCAAATGACTTGACAACAGTGTAGCATAAATTCAAACAAGTTTTTGTTGTTGAAATGGCTGTCTCCTGAAGGTCATTACAGAAATGATATTTTAGTGTTCTTTCGGTATCTGCTCATGTATTGTTGCCTCTGTTGATAATTATGTAGAGGGACTTCAAGGATTTACCTACAGTATGGAGATCCTCACTTTCACTGCCCTGATCATCATCCTCCCCAAGTCTAATACAGGGGTACCGTCTCTGTAATGAGGTGCAGAAAGCTGAGTGATTGATGTAGAGACAGAAACTGAAGCAGTGGGAAGTGAGGAATCCAAAGGTGGGAGTTCTGGTTGTTAAACAGTAGAAAAGCAAAGCTCTCCTGAGAGGGCCCGGTTTGGCGTTAATGACAGGCAGATGTTGGCCTTGCACAGTCTGCACTTGACAGTTGTTTAACTTGGCAGCAAAAAAACCTCAATGCTTTAAACAGAAAATCATTTAAGATGTTCTTAAACATTAAGGGATCATATGTAAGTCATAGATATGCATATTTAGTTCAACTTGTGTTACATTTCTTTTAGATCTTTATTGGGCTGCTTTTAGTTTTAATGTTAACTGTCTACCAGTACATTCTTGAAAAACCCTTAGGTTATTTTCTTCTTGCGGAGTACAGTTCATTACTGGTAAGCATTGCATGGTAAGTTCGATTTGAAGAGCTTTTTGCCGTCGGAGACGTTGCCCGGAGGTCACTACGAGGAAGTAGCTCTTCGTGACCCCCAACTACTTCAAAGACTGGAGGTTAAAACTTAGCATCACCAAGACAGTGAGCAGCATTTTCCACCTCGCAAATTGCCATGCTAACATAACAATCAACGTCAAGTGCGAAGACAAAACTATTCCATTTGAGAAAAGCCAGAAATACCTCGGAGTTGTCCTTGACCGCTCACTGACCTTCAAACAACATCTCGAACAAACAGCAGCAAAAATCCAAGCAAGGAACAACCTCCTGTGAAGACTAGCTGGCACTAGCTGGGGTGCAAATTTCACCATCTTACGCACCTCTGTGCTTTCTCTGGCCTTCTTGGTAGCTGAGTACTGCTCTCCTGCCTGGCACAACAGTAGCCACACGAAGAAGGTAGACACAGCCCTGAACAACAGCATGCGCATTATAACCGGATGCATTAGATCTACGCCCACTGAATTGCTACCGATTCTCAGCGTCATCTCTCCACCTAACCTTCGCAGAGAAGCAAGTTGCATCAACCTTGCACTGAAAGCCTCGGATGACTCCAACCACCTGCTGCATGATGCCATCTGCAACCAGAACACCACAATCCTCCGATTAGAAAACCGGCACTCACCTTCTAACACAATGAGGCACCTTATGAAAGAAGCAAACGACAATGGCACTAATTGGGCTAACAAAAAGTGGCAAAACGCGTGGAATAATAACAACCATAGACTGAAACAAAGTATCCAACAAACCCGCTGGAAATGACCTACCCAGACAAGCCTGGGTCAAGCTGAACCGACTAAGAACCGGACATGGCCGTTTCCGGGCCACCCTGCACAAGTGGGGTCATACTGATGACCCAACTTGCGAATGCAGCGATGGCAAGGAGCAGACGGCCGACCACATCCTATACTCCTGCCCTCGCTTCAAATGCCCTGGCAACTTTATCGATTTGGATGATGCCAGCTGCGACTGGCTGAGGCACCTGACTGTGACAATATAACTATGTAACTTCTGCATGTTAAGCTCATACGAATATATATATATAGTACATTCTTAATTTTGGCTTGGAATTGTGTACTTCTGGAATATAGCAATTTCTTTTTTAAGGTGTTTTTATTTTAATCTAGTAACCTGCTTCCTCACAATGTTAGTCATTTTTAATATCCGTTTTCCCTTTTTCGTATCTACTTGTGTCTCAAGTCACACTTGGAGTGATTTACTGTATATTTATCATTGTGTTTTTATTTTACATTGACTTATAAAACATGAGATTTAAATAAGAACCCTCCCATTTTGATTTTAAATTCAAAATGGATATGTGGAGTCGTACTTGTGCATAAAAACAGAAGTTTTGTGGTTAGGTTGTGATTTTCAGGGTGTTTTTATTTGCTTATTGTTTTGTATGGCCCATGATGATGTAAAGTCCATCTGTGTGGGTGTTTGTGGACACTGAGTTAAAGATTTTCTGTTACCCCCGTAGCACTGCCCTCTATGTAGACACAAACTCTGAAGGTCACAGGCTGCATCTTGATTCCATAGCACAGGGACTAAGTCCATCATGCCTGATTCATGTGACTATCGTTATTGAAAACTGCTAGTCTTGTGGCGTGAGTGTGCAAGAGAAGACATAAAGATTATATGGTATTACATATTAGAGTTAATAGGGATTTATTTTGTATCCCCCCAAACACACAGAGTTGAATCTGTGTGTTTGAATCTGTTGTATAGTTGAATCATTGTGTATTATATTTAATGTGGTTTATAGTAGGTGTAATTAACCATGTAATATGTGTTATTATGCCAAAAAAATGCTTCTGCAAGGTATATGCCCAAATGAAACCACAACAAGGACTGATACTTGCAATGTGTTTATTTTCCTGATGTCACAGTGGAGTTTTTGCCTTTTATTTAGCCACAGTACCTATATCTTGCGAATGGATATAAGTTTGTGGCTATATGCCAGTGCTGCTCTGTGTTATTTGAATGTTTTGAAATGCTCCTCTTTTGATTTATAGCATCTAAGTGATGAGAACAGGAGTATGCATTCTGGGAGCAAGAAGAAAATAAGGTCTCCAGCTGACAGGTGAGTTTATAAGAAGGCTATAGCGGCTGAAACCAGGGGCCAGCTGGTGCTGTTAGAAGCACATTTTTAGCTACTGTTCTTGCCTGGCTTCTCATACGGCTCCTTTACTGATGTGTGAAATTTACATCTATGATAGGTCAGCTTTCAGAACAACCTAGACTAGACACAATTGATCTGATTTGTGTATTATTTAACATGCCAAGGGTCAGTTAACATACAACAGGCAAAAAAGTACATTTGCACAAAGAAAAGGTTGCTGGAGTAGCTCAGGGTTTAATCCCCTGACTTTAAATGAATGAGAGATGAGCCGAATGCCCTTCTCTGTTTAGAACATCTTCAAGGTTACAATTACAGGACAAACAGTGGTTTCCAATACTTTTGTTTCACTTAAGGCTTAAAACATTGAAGTAATTATATTGAAATTAGTCAAGCAAGGTGCTTTACACAAATTGCTCAAACTCAATAAATGAGTATAGCTAGAATTTTTTAAAGGCATCTGTCACAAAAATTGGTAATTACTTTTCACAAAGGGAGAGTTGAAGTATTGTAAAAAATCTTGTTTTTATTTTCTTCTTGGTTGCATTTCCAAACTTAGTATGTGATATTGCTTAGGTTTTTTGTGTATGAACTCACTTCCCCAATTTAATCCCAGTGTTTTTATACTATGGGGTGAATATCACGCCTCCCTGACACTGTGAAGCAGCTCGGTCTGTTCCATCCAGTATTTTGTTGTCTTTCCTCAGAGAGAAGGGGAAAAAAAGCGATAACAGAATAAGCTACATCACAAATGGGGTCATGAGACAACCTCCCGAACAGCTCATACGTCCAGCTACTGGGAAAGGTAATGTTCCTTTTGTGACCATGCTTATGTTAGTTTCCAGGATGTAACTGATGCACAGTTCTCTTTGAATTATATATTTTTTTCCTTAACATTTGCAGTGTCTTCTAAAACAATAAAAGACAAGATTGTAAAGTAAGATAATTTTTTAGTGCTTGCCAGGTTTTTTACTTACATTTTGTACTGTTTTTTTGTGTGTATTTGTGTATTTTAGTGCGTAATATCACCTAGAGTCCTAGACCATTCCAAATGCCATTTAGTGCTTAATACCACCACTTTGAAGGCTTTTGAATGCTGTTTAAAAGTAGAGATCTGACTATATCTGTTTTAACAGCTCTGTTTCCTTTGTGAAGTCTCACTGATAGATGTGAATTATTTACTAGATTTAAATTTCCATCAGTTTTTCTCTTTTCTTTTTTTAGTTCCTATTCTTCCTGTTAAACTTTTAGACTTTAAAATTTCCTTTATAGAGAACTATGGCTAGTCTCAGTGATGGGCTACTATAAATTATAGATGACGCAACACAAACCAAATCTATCATTAGTCTTACACCTGCTGTTAATGCTGATTAAATCACTTAATCGTTTAAATGAAACATAAAACTATAAATTTAGTTATTTATTGAAAAATGACACATGCATATTCAGTTTCTTAACTTCCAGTTCAAATACTTTAGTTCTTAACATAACTGAAAACTACAATATGAAAACAAAAGTTACAGACTCAAGGAAGCCTTTCTGCTCATTTGTCCTGTTTGGTAGTTCGTAGTTCATTGATCCAAGTATCTCAATCCAGCCCTTTTACCTTGACAGTAGTCAGGATGTCGGCATCAACAGCATAGCTTGTTAGCTTTTTCCATTCTTTGGGTAAATACGTACCTTCTGTTCTTTGTCCTTAATGCACTGCCACATAGTTTCCAGTCCTGTCCTCTGGCTAGCTTCCCTCTTTATTCAGCAAACTAAATGTATTATAATATTTTGATCATTCTCATTTTAAGCTCAAAGTTTACCACTGCTATAAATAAAACATTTGTGATTTATTCCAAATTACTTTAGAATACAATGGAAATGTGAAATACAAATAAAATGCACTTTTGTGCTTAAAATAATGGGAAAAGTAAACCTATCTTTACTTGTAGAGTTCTGAGCAATGTGATTCTTAACAACAAAACTAGGATGTTGCTTCATTACAAGTGTAGCCAAAGGTTACTAGTGTCATACTTGGTATCTTCTGTTGGGTGGAAATAGGTTTTGAAGAAATTGGCAGTACTACATCCATATTATTTGTGAACGCTGTCAGAGCACAGTGAAAATCTATTTTACAAAGAAATGTGACTGCTACACTGTAATCCTTTTGGCTCAGACATCTTTAAGAGTATGACAGTTTAATAATGATACCATAACAAATAGTATAATGTGAATATCTGTAGCGCATGGTTTGAAATTTATGGAGTATCAGATTTATGGTTGTAAATGAAACCAGATAACTATGCAGTGATTCCTGGTGTCATTTGATTTGGGATTGTTTAGAGTGCAAACCAAGTCTCCAGGGTATAGGTGTATTGTGTGTCACGTCCCTGTGCACGTATTGTAGATTTTCAGTTTAACTTGAATTCATAGTTAAGTGCACAAGGTGGAGGAAAGACAAGTCATGAAAGTCAAAATCACAATTTAACATCAGTGTTTTTCCACTGTATAATTGCTTTCTAATGCAGTTTCTATAGCTCACCATCACTGGCATTTTGCAGCCTGTCAATTTCACAGGTGGATTTAGTCAGTCAACTAACATTTGAATTGGACTCTAATCAGCATTTACTGTACCAGTTAATAGAACCTCCAGAGTTATACAGTTTCCTTTTTTATTTCTTTTGAAGAAAACACATCTCTGAAATGTCAGATATAAAGCCATTTCTGACTATCCCCCAGTTGTCTATGGTTCCTCATGTAAGTTTGTCCTACTATGTACTATGTCTGTTCAGACCACATCAGTCACAAAGTAATGGCCATAGAAAACTAATAATTTATCTTGTGTTCATGTGTCTTAAAAGGTTAGCACTATTTAATCTGGAAGATCTAGCCTTTAAATGTCTGAGGAAACCAGATGTTCAATCTCTGAAACTGATATAAAATTTAATATAATATTCTGGCTTTTGATCCTTGGATGACTCATGGTCATGTCAGCTATCCAGCTGCCCAGAAATTAATTTATCTCATTGCATGTCTTGGAATCAGTTGCCAATATTAGCCGATATTTTCCTTCATTTGCCATTACTCCCGTTTGCTGACATTCATAATCTGACAGATGGAATTTTAGCTGTACAAGATGTAAATGTTGGCCTTCCAAAAAAGAAAAAAATATTTGAAGTCAGACATTTTTATTTTCTTGAATGAATTAAACCCACTAAAAGAGCTAGCAGGCAGCTTCTGTGCTCTCTATTGACATATGCCTCATATATTGTATGAATGTATAAAATGATTTGTTCTATTCAAACAGAAAGTGCTGCTTTAGCTGACTGTTAGATCTGCTCTAAAGTCTGCTTTCTCTCCATGAATGTCAGATCTGAGGCTGGATCCTGGCTCAGGACAGGACACCTGTGGAGAGACGTCCTCTGAGTGCTACAGCTCCCCTTCAAGTCCACGACATGATGGCCGAGAGAGCTTGGAGAGTGAGGATGAGAAGGACAAAGGTGAGAACGAGGCATTGACCGCTTCATCACCGAATACGTTTTTGTGTAGAATTCACTCCTCACATGTTCCTAAAACGTGAGCGGCACTGTGGTTCAGTGGTTAGCATTGCTGCCTTGCACTACTGGGGCAAGTGGGTAAAATTCCAGAGCTCGAATATTATCTGTGTGGAGTGTGTTCGCATGGGTTTCCTTCATGTGATCCAGTTTTCACTCACTGTCCGAAAACACTCTGGCAGGCTTCTGAGAAGATTGTCCCTTGTGTGAGTGTGTGTGTCTGGTGTATCCTGAAACAGGCTCCAGTTCCCCCTCCACCCTGTATTGTATAAAGTGTGTAGAAAATCGATTGATGGATGTTCTTTAAATGACATATTGCATAATAGTAAAATCTTCTTAAAGTGAGTGACTTATGTTATTCGAAATGAGCTTTTAGAACTACCATGAAACTCAGCAATTGAATGGAAAATATTCAAATATTCAAAATAGTAGAAAATATAAACTCTATTTGCCTTAAGCATTAATTTTCCTTCTTGGATTTGTATTGTACAAAGCAGACGTTCTTTAACAGGCAACTAATTTCACAGTGTATTGTGGTCAGTTATGCAAGTAGAATTTAATTCTCATTGGTACAGTATTGAATACCATCCCTGCCCCTCACATTGAGTGTTGTTTCATGAGCTAGTATCGTTATTTACAAATCCTTGTCAGTTATCTAGGCAACCGTTTTCTTCTTTAACTGGAAACGTGATCTGCAATATCACCACAGACAGTTCAAACCCATTCACCTGCTGCAAATCAGTCAGGCTCTCAAGATCTGTTTACAGACAATTCATTTTTGCAATGTATTAAGCTGTCATTAACGCATGAGCAGTAGTTCCCAATGTGGCTGGTTCATTTTTAGCAATGACATTAAGCAGAATTTCTTGTTTAGCTGTTTCTAGAATTTGTGTAGCTGCACTGTGAGCAGCTGACTTTGTGCTCATTAAATAATTTTCCACAGTGTCGTGAATTTTTCCCCAAACGACCAAATCAGACATTCAGCCCCTTAAGAAGCAATATCCATGCCTCTAGCAGAGAAAAACGTTAAATTGGAAGCCTCCACATATTCTACACCCAAGTTTCCACTGCAAGAAAGCAGCCAATCATTTTGTTTTGGAGTTCTTCAAGTTGAACCCTGGATCGCACAGCTAGGTGCTGTTTTTCCTCAGGCCTGCCCTGCAATTCACAGCCAATTCACAACCACTTGTGTCAATCTCAGTCCTATAATCTGTGTCTTCCCGTGATGTCAGTGAGTCCATTGTCATTTTGTACATGCACCACCATCTCTATCAGTTTTAGGTGCTTCCATCATCTGTTGCATGCTTTGAGTGTCTTGTTAGGATTTGTTGCAAACAAAATTGTGCAACTTGACTCTACTTAACCACATTTAAAAAAAAGTTTTAAATTTTAATTAATCACTGGTCTGTTTTACTAACTTTCACTCACTGATGTTTATTTTCCTGCTTCGGTGTCATAGATTTTACAATGACAGTTATGAAGCTTCTAAATCAATTCTACTAACAGATAATACAGACTGGTAAAGTACACACCTAAATAATTCATTTGATTCAGCACACTGTGAACCTAAACTGGAATAATTCAGTTATTACTATTATGGATGTATTTGTTGAACTACATTTCTATAAAAGCAATCTAAAAGTAAATTGAATAACGTATTTAAATAAGCATTGTTTAACATACTAAAGAAATTCTGAAATGCCATATGACAATAGACAATATTTCACATCTGAAATAGTTTAGTTAGCCCCTTTATCATATACAAATAAATCAAAGTGATGCAATAAATGTAAAAGAAACCCAACAAAATGTTGAATAAGTCACAATATAAGAATGTTGCCTACCACTAAAACCTTTTTATAGCTTCTCAGATTGCTTGCTAACTTGGCAAAGTACAGCAGGACTTCACCATTAATTAAAGTTGATTTTACTCCCTAGTTAATAAACTAGGGACTAAAATAGACTGTGATAGACACCTTAACTTTCCTGTCAGTCTCTCTCGTGCTTAGCAGTGTTAATTCAAGAATCACAATCGGCAGTAGATGGAGCTTAGCTCTATTGGGTGACTACCCATTGATCACAGGCAGTTCCTCGTTTTTTAATTATCTTCATGACAGTTCTTTTACATAGAAGATTTCTTTATGCATAGCATAGTTACAGTTGTATTGTATTGGTTTGTAATACTTGCAACATTGTCATTGTATATAAATTATTTTCTTTCCAGCACAACATAAAGGCAACAAATGCCTTAATGGCCAGTGTGTCTGGCAGTGCTAGCCTACTTATACCCACTCTGATTTTGTTGCAAAAACAATATGAAAAAAATATCCTATTGTCACATTTCTTGCAAGTCAGATGTTTGTCTGTACACAGATGTTCCTAAAAAGAAATGCATGTTTTACTTTTACTACAAAATATTTTGAGTAAAAAGCATGTTATACAAATGTTTTGAGTGTTTTAAACAGCGTTGTCAATGATATTGTGTTAGTAACAAGAAGGTGGGAAACGTTTAAGTACAGTGTTTGCAGTGTAACTGGTCTTCTGGACTAACACGGAGCGACTGTTGTTCTCTTCTCTTTGGGTAGACACTGACAGTAACTCAGACGATTCCAGCAAAGACAAAGCAGACAGCTTCCTCTCTCCCAAGAGTGCTGTTGGTGCAGCTGTTGCAACAGTGCGCCCGCTGCTTCCAGTGATGCTGAAAGACGGAGTGGCAAGGCCGGAGAGCCCGCTTAGTGCATCCAAGTTCACTCAGCTCTCTTTCATGCACCCCATGCAGTATGTGGTCCAGAATGGAGCAACCAAGACAGAGGGTGCAGTTCCTCAACAGATCCTTGATGGCAAGACAGCTGGAGGATTGATAATGCCAGCCACTATGGACCTGCCTAGCCCTGTGGCTGTGGGAGAATCTGAGAAGCAACTCCTGGAGCCTGTCCCGCTTCCTCCACCTTTTAACCCCTCCCCACTGGGCCTGCCTCCACAGCCTAGCACCCTAGCTCTGCAGCCCCTCATCCAACGCTTCAAAACAGGTGCCCCGCAAGCTGCCTCCGAGAGCAGCAGTGCCTCCCCGCACCAGCCTCCTGTGGGTGCCATTAGTATGATATCTCCGGGCCCCTCCTACGTGTCTCCCCACCAGCCGACCTATCCCAATACCGAGCCTGCCCTGGGTTCTGGGCTGCCTCTTGCTGAGCCGCACACCAAACCCCCTGGGGTACCCCTACCCTCTGGTCTACCTCCCTCCTTCAGCTTGTCTGTTCCCAGCTCCATGCTGCCTTCCCCGGTAACAACAGGAACCCCTGCTGTAGGTCAGGTGAAGACCATGGTGCCAGCTGCTGTGCCTACGCATACACCAGGCCCAGCACCCAGCCCCAGCCCTGCTCTAACCCACAGCACAGCTCAGAGCGACAGCACCTCCTACATCAACAGCACCAGCTGTGGTAGCTCCAGTGGGGTCTCTCAGCAGCAGCAGCAGCAACAGCAGCAGCAGCCGCCTACCCCTCAGCAGCTGAGCTGTGGAGCCTGCGGTTGCCGTGGCAGCTGTGGAAGCAGCCATGTGCACAATTTCTTCTTCCCTCCCCACCTGCCTTGCCAAGTCTTCAGCGTCCCACCTTTTTTCCACGTGACTTCGCTGTGCAACAGCAGCTACCTCAACCAGGCGCACCAGAGCAACGGCGCCACACAGCTGCCTTTTTTCCCACCTGCCCCCTCACCCTACCCCAGTGGCCCCCTCATGCACACCCACTCGGACCACGTGCTGGGTACCCAGGCAGGCTATGGCCTACAGCAAATGGCTGCCTTCAGCCGTTTCTATTCACCCGTCTACCCCTCAGTCAGCATGGTACCTGGCACGAACAATGGAGTGGGCATGAAAAAGAATGGCAACATCTCGTGCTACAACTGTGGGGTCAGTGGACACTACGCACAGGACTGCAAACAGCCTTCCATTGACGCGTCACAGCAAGGTAATCATTCCTTACCCCAGGGAAGGGTATGCCAAGGGACAGTTGTGCCACACTCTCACCCCCCAGCATCGCATTGCTTTCCACAATTCTCTGTGCAAAAAAACAAACGACACTGTCCTCCATAGAAAAAGAAAAGGTTTTTCAGTATCTAGACATTACCACTCCCCCTTCAGTTGCAGGACTTTTTAGCACTACATTACAGTGCCTTTTCAGGGCTGCACATGGAAAACTCCTGTCTTTTATGGGGAGAAAACAACCATTGGCCATTTTGCTTTTCTAAAAATGTGTTTTGGATATTTTCTTAGTGTTGGCCCGCTCTAGGAAACAATGGTACTTCAGATTAGTTTCAATGATTTAAGGAGAGTTAAATGAAATTATTTGCTAGCTTTAGAAGAGAACCATTTTGTGAAAGTCCTATGAGTAATGTAAGGTGAATTATGAGCCAAAATGTTACGTTTTGAAATAAAGAGATTAGTTTGTGGCAAGCAGGGTAGGATCAACACACCATTTGTTTGAATTCGTTTCTTAGTGTTTTCTATTTAGAGATGGACAGTGCAGTGGATCAGTGGTTAGCATTGCTGCCTCGGAGCACCGGGGCCCCCTGGGTGGAGTTTGTATGTTCTCCTGTGCTTGTGCGGGTTCCCTTTAGGTACTCCAGTCTCCTCCCACAGTCCAAAGACATTCTGCTAGATTAATTGGCCTCTGTAAAAGTGTCTCTGGTGTGATGGTGTGTGTGTTTGTATCTACAGTATATGTGGCCTGTGAGGAAGTGACGTCCCGTCCAAGGTGTATCTTGCCTTGCGCCCGTTACTTGCCGGGTTAGGCTTCGACTCTACAAGTGAGCCTGTACTGGATAAAGCAGTTAGAAAATGGATGGATATTGAGGTCACAAATTATGATTATTAACATTGTTTTTTTAGTATGATGGGATTATAGCACAATGCCAACTTTGGTTTATTTATATAGAACCTTTTATGAGAGAGTAAGAAATTATTTACATTTATAATGTTTCTGATCTCATTTTTTAGAGTAGCAATTTACAATAATAATTGGTCACTAAACATTAGTCTTTTTTTCGACCTCACATATCTGTGAACAGTTTGGACAGATGTGTACTGCACTGTTGGCCACCATCAACCACACGTGCTGATCTGGTAGTTGCTTTAGAAATCAAATGAAAAGAACATTGCTGAGGTCTGTTTGCATACATTGGTTTGAGCTGGAGATGGAAACATAAGGTGTTGTTATGTACATAGTTGTACCTGGTTTGAATACACTATGTAACTCATACTATGTGGAACTTTTGATTTTTATTGGCTGTAATCTGACTACCAATAATGGAATAACATCTCGGGCAAAACATACAGGATACACCTTTATCAGTTTGTTTTTGTTTTAGTAAAAAGCTGTATTTTCATGAAAATTATGAACTCAGTTTTATAAAGCTACTTTGATAGCTTTTAGTAGCATGGCAGGAACAGAAGTTGATTCATGTGTTTCAGTGCCTACAGATATTTGACTGTGGCTCTGTAGTTGACTTGTGCATTTATTTCTGTAAAGCAATAGAAAGTCAGTAGTATTAATATACTTGCCGTGTGCAATTCTAACAAAATAGTTTAAAACCAGTGCATCACAATATCATGTAAAACACAAGTTTGCAGGAAAAAAAGCATTTTGAAATGTATACATACTTCACTACTTACAAAAAGGGTACAGCTGAAGGTCATACCAAATACAACAAATCTGTTTTTGTATACTTGTATTTTATGCATTGTAAAAATGCAGCTGTACTATATGGTACTGCTCTGTAGTAGTCATCCAGAAGAAACTGGGCTTTAAAAAACTGCTTTATACAGTAAACAAATCTGTAAAAATGTTAAACCAAAGTTTCCATAACAATTCCCTTTTATAACTTTTAGGATCTTCTTAAGGACATTGATGACATTATACTGCTCTCACTTCTCTTGTTATTACTCTCAGTATATGTGGTACTGTTGTATTACTTTTTACTTGAGGTGGCCTTCTTTGTAGTTAAGCCAGTAAAAGCCTTTCCCTGAGCACAGGTGGAGCTGTTTGGTCCCAGCTTTGTGAATGCGAGCCTAGATTGACGTAACTAGCCGACTGAAATTCCCCAAGTGGTGGTGCACAATTGGTTTAGCACCCCTCCAAAAGGGAAGGGGCTTTAGTAGGCCAGGGTGACTCAGGGACTCCTGCGACCTCTGGCTCTTGTGTTGTTGAGTGTAGAGTCATTCAGCTAATGTTGAACCATCGCTGTGGAGTTGTGTTGCCTTAAATTTACAAAGATAAATGAGTGGGAGGTTCAGAAGTGTCCTGTCTATACTTCTGTGTTCAGTTATGCCTTTGCGGTTTATAACTGTGAACCAAGATGTAAAAAAACACACAATTTGCAACTCCAAAACTGGGTGTGTAGAACAAAAAGATGTGATTCTGAATTTAAAAAGAAAGAGCTGAAGGTTTTGCTTCATGCAAATCAGTATTGCTGTGGTATATTGCTCTGCTTCTTATCCCCAACAAGACTATCAAATAGAATAGCAACACCAGAAACAAAACCCTTAACCATTTCGCCGTGTTAGGCAAAACCTAGAGAAAAATGTTGAATTTTTCCACTAAAAACTTCACTCAAGTAGCAAATTCTGACTGTATACCCTCATGTCTTAAAAAGTATTAGGGTTGTTTAGAAATGTTTTTCAACTCACATACTTGCTTTGCTGCTGTTACATAGTTAATCTGCATTATTGAAAGCTATACACACTTTAGTTCTAGTCTAATTCCATGTTTGGACCACCATCTGAAGATAAATGATGCTCTTCTTTTCTTTCTAATGTCATTGAATGGAGATGGAGACATGCACAGCCATTAATCATTACATGTGCAAAAAGGAGCACGATATTTAGAAATGGTTGCTGCTTAAGGAGAAGCAGCCCCTCAGATCACAGTATTGTGATGGGTGAAGACAGTTGATCTAACAACCTCTCATTGCCTGCTCACTGGTGATGAGACACGTTATCACCACTGAGACCTGGAGAGGAAGCATGTGGCATCTCCTTCACCAAATATGTTCTGTACCACATATTAGGCTAGGAATTTTATTGCCAGCAACCTCTTAGTCTCTAAGTTAACTGCTAATTGATTACTTGGCACACAAATCTACAGTTGCCGATCAACATTGCTGCTTACTTGCTAGTCCAGCTGTTTAAAACAAACAACACAAAAAGTCTGATGTTGGCAAACGCTGCACTGTTTCAGGGTGATTCCTTGAAATCTCCCTCTCAGTGGTGAATGCAACTGCCAGTTCTGCTTGTCAGGGATTTTCTAATTGTTGGAGAAATGAGCTTGGTGAGCTGAGGTGAAGTGTGATAACACTGAGTAGGTGAGAAACCACCATCAGTGTTTTTTTTTATGTGGGACTTTGAAACTGCTAGAATAACAAACTTCCATCTGATAACTAACCCCAACTTGACACTTTTGTTTTATCGTAAGCACTTCAAACCAAATATTAAAATAGATGAGGTGAGATGTTAAAATGCATAAATATAACCAGAAACAAAAACTGTGAGCAGTATAATTTTATCGGTTTACTCTTGGCATACATTACAAACTATTTATGTGTTCAGCTTGTTTAAAGATCATTCTTTATAAAATAAATATTGCAATGCTTTTGAGGCTTCCTTTAGTCAATTTAACCCAGGGCAGCAGTTAATTGTTTTGGTATACAAATTTTAAAATAACATTTAGGAAATTAATTTTTCATGTGTTTCATTCAAATTTGAAACAACCCTTTTTGTGTGAAACTCTGGAAACCTGAAAACCAGCTGTGTTACAGAATTAAGTAATTAGGTAACAAATGCACATCACATATGTTGTGAAAATTGGATCCACTTAGGTACAGCACAGCCCAGTGCAAAACTGATCAAAAGCTTTTTTACGCTGTGTCATCACTGACCTACACATGAGCAGGTTAATCTTGGAGGAAATACTGTATGTTGGGAAAGTGATTATTTTATGGAATTAAAAACTAATTCAGGCTACAGCCCTACATAATTCATAATAGACCACACCAACACCATGCTGCAAAATGTACTGAACGTTATAGAATTTCATGATTTATAGAATTAAGGTATTCTATATTCTTGCTGTTTTTGCTACATTTATTTATAAAATTGAACCTGTAAGAAAAGTTCACATCTGCGATTTATCGGAGCATTAAATTGGGTTTGCCGTATTAATGCCATACCTTTATTTTTTACAGTAAAATAAGTCGCTTGAAAATAGTTGAGATGGGTAAAATAAGACATACCACTTTTAACAATAGACTGCATGGATAAATGTTGATATGGACTATAAATACAGATTGCAATGAACAGTTTAATGTTATTTATCTTTCAATGTAAATTAACTGAATGTAACTAATGTAAGTCTTAATGTTTCTCAATTTAATGTTTTCACTAGCAACAGAGCTGGAGTAGGGTCTTAAAGATATTTGTTAAAAAAAATACTTTCTTGTCTGTGCAGTTTCACAATGACTATCTTTTTTTTTTTTTTACAGGTGGCTTTCGGCTGAAGTACTCTGAAGCACTAGATAATAATGACTGAAGCATCAGAAGGCCATTAAGGTGTTTTCTTGTTTTGCTTAAATAAAGTTTCCTGTGAGCCCGTTGTTTTCCTTTTAATACCTATTGAGGGTCTGGGGAACCTGAGAACTTGTGCCTGACACTTACCTTCTAAAGGTGAGGGAAAACTTGTTTCCACAGAGACTTCAGCGTGGCCTCTGGTTTTTGCACTGAAGACTGGCAAGAGACACCGGCTTATGTTTACTAATTTTTTTCTTAAACTGCAACACCGAGTCTCTTAAAGGACTGTGGGGAAGCTAATAATCTGTTATAAAGAAATCTTGGGGGAATTATAAAATTCTCTTTTTTTTTTTTTCCACAGTAGGTCTATGCTTCCTTTCCTTTATCTTCTTTCTGTAAGAATTTGCAGTCTATGTATGTAAACCTCCATAGGTTCATCACCACAGCATTTTGTAGATAATTTTCCTTTTAGTAGCAATATGGTCATAAAAATAAAAAAAAAACATTAGGATATCTGAGTGCCTCTATACCTTGTTGAAGAAAATGTTGGGTAAAAATGGGGGGATGACTTTAAGGGTAAAAAATGCGAGTGAATTTTGTAACTAAAGGAAAAAACATTTTAAGGACTTTGTTAGAGCAGCTAATTAACAAAAATTTTTATATTTATTTGAAATCTTAAATTAAGGAGAAAGTGTGAATGGTGTAAGGAATATTGTTTGTATAAAAAACATTCAAGACGCCACAGTCATTTCTTAAGATATTTTTTTTGTTTTAGTGTCATAGATAAATGATTTCATGTATAAATATATAAAGCTTTGATTTTTTTCTGCAGCAGTGTATTGAATGTACAAGGTATTATTTTTTAATTTCTTAAGTTAACTGAAATTAGTAGTATCTTGCTATGAGAAGTCATTTCAAAAGCATTTGCCACTAAATAGAATGTGAAACATGTACTAAGAAGTTATTAATCATGTCTACGTCATGTCATTATGTTTGATGCTGCTGTGGTTTTTATTGGCCAATATGCACTATTGCTTCCAGGAGTTCTTTAGTTCCCTAAGTGCACTGAGGCAGTCCTAAGGTGAACAGATTGGGAGATTATTACTGCATAACATTGTGTTCTGCTGCTGTCCATCCAGTATTCTGTTAATGATGTGCTGCAGATTCTTTATACCTGGTGGTGCAATTGTGGACAATCGCTTGGTTATTTTACCACCTCGTGAAACAATAGGAATAAGAACTGTGGCTGAATAAATTGTCCCTGTAATAGTCATCTATAAGGGTTTGAACAGGCCTGCAGTAGCTATCCTAAAGCAAAACATTCTGAAAACTGAAGATGTTTAAGTCTCGTGCAGCACAAGATCTGATTATATGTACAGATATCTGCATATACACATATACTTTGAAAGACTGAGTGTTTACTCTGAAACCATACAGTCAGTGCACTAAATGAGTGAGTGATTTGTGAACACAAACCCGCTTATAAATTGCTACAATGGAAATTCCAATTTTGAGCAAACTCAGTTTTTAAGGACTGTGTAGAATTACATCAGAGCCTACATAAGGTGTTGAATTGTCCATACTTATTACCTGATATGGAGTGAATTTTCACAGACCAATTGCATCACATTACACCTCAGATGGAATAAAGTGTTATGGCATGTATGTCATTTCATCCAAGACATTGTGTGGATGAGATCAGCAGTCTTAATCTGAAAGTTAAAAGCAAATTCCTGGTGCGAATTTGTATTCGGAATCCTCAAAACCCGGGTTTAACACACTCTTAGTGATCATTGGAGTCCATGTCCTGGAATTGTCTAGGCCATGGCAGTGTTGCAATGCTCAGTCCCGTGACCGTGGGCTTACTTAAGCCCTTAGTATTTATGTGTGTATGTGTGTATCTCAAAAACATTATCTCTTAGGTTCTTGATTAGTTGCTTAGGGATTAAAAATGCTGAGTGGTTTGACTTGATTTACAAAAGCTTTCTTCTTTTCTGGATTACTATAGGAACCCTTCCAGGCTGTAATGGTGACAAAAGTAGAGAGATTACTGTATTGAAATTAAAATGTGAGGGGGAAAATGAATTTATTTTGATGAACCTCAAAAAAGAAGCAAGATATTTGGACCATAATGTGCAGTTACTTTAGTAAGTTTAGTGGGTGGAGAACCATGCAATCCTTTAGGACTGTTGTATATATAAACCTGCCAGTTGTTATTTGCTGAACTTCTTTTAAGATTTAAGATACTGTACTGTATATAAGGAGGTATATTGTTACCTTCAGTTGTATGTTTACTGTATTCTTTGATATCTAAATGTTATTATGTACTGGAAAGGTCAATTATATTTCTAGAACAAATTTGGATTTTATGCAATTTTTTTGATTTTTTTTCTGGAATTAACAGCAATAAAATAAAAAAGCCAATTGCCTTATGCTTTTTTTATTTCCCATATAACATTTGAAAGTAAAATAACGATTGGAACAATTAAAGATGTGACTATTTTTGAAACAGTGATTACAGTCTGAAGTCCAGGTTAGTTGATGTTTTTTAAAGCTTCTCCCATGTGTGTCCTGAGATGGTGTAGTCTTGTGCTTGTGATTTCTGGTTCACTGTAACTGATTAAGGATGAGGATTGATAAAACTGATTTTTTTATGCTGTTGTTTAATTTAGTCTCATCATTTTGCTTTATTTTAAATAGGACTATTCAAGGACTTTTCTGAGATAATTTGTTTTCTGTAATTAAGTTTAACACTAAAACCAAAATGTGTTTTCTAGGACAGCCTTATAATACCAATTTGAATACAAATCCCAGCTGCACTGAACGTTATGCAAATTAAGTTAAAATGTTATCAATTCAATTATATTTTTTATATATGATTACATTATGTGATATTACCTACGTAGCTATTGAATGACATGATAAATACTCACATCTGTTTTTATTCAACAACTTATCCATGTACTCGGTTATCTACATACCATTGTGCCACACGCTCTGCGGAAGGTGGAAATAAGGTAAAGTGAAGCCCCCTGCTGGGCAAGAGAGAGCTGTAGGCAGAGTGGTGTGATAGCAGACAAGGGACATAGGCAGAGCATGCTTCAGGCAAGCAGTTCAGATCAGTAGTCAAAAGCAAATGTGGTTCAAAGCCGGAAAAATACAGTCAGTGCACAAGGGCAGATCTAAAATCATAGTCGATGCAAGGTTCATAGCATTTGAAACAAGCTTAGAAAGTTTAAAGCAGCCAACCCAGATATGTGGTCAGGGCAAAGCAAGGGTCAAGTATCCAGGGAGAAGTAAGCAAGAACACAAGAACAAAGCTGAAGTGTCAAGCTAGGATCAGTTCTAAATTCCATACCAAAGCATCGAGCATTGTCCAAGCAGAGCATTAATATTCTGAACCACCAGAGGGAGGCATTGTTGCACAGTGCCTGCAGGTGAATCAACTTTCCTGTCAGAATGCAGAATGTCAACACATTGTTAATGTAATATTTTTTTAAAGGGTATTCAAATGAAGGTGTTACATTGAATGATCAGGCTGCTGCTCACCAATCAAATTTAATCATGTTTCTTTTGACATAGGGTACTTATTTTAAAGGGCAGCCTGGTGGCACTGTTAGCATTGCTGCCTCACAGCACCCAGTTCCCAGGGTGCTACCGGTGTGGATTTAGAGTTCTCCTATGTTGAGTTTCCTCACACAGTCCAAAGAAACTTTGGTAGGTTAATTGGCTTCTGTAAATTTGGTGCTGCTGTGAGTGTGTGCATGTCTGTGTCCACGTGTGCCCTGTGATGGACTAGGGTCCCATTTAGGATATATCCATCCTGTCTTGCACCAATGAGTAGTTAGTAGTTACACTTAGTTACAGTTAAGTAAGTGAACGGGATGTGATGATGATGATCATGACATATTTTGGAGAATAAGAGTTGAAGCACAGAGAGAGAAAAAAAGGCCAAGGTTATCCATGATATATTATTTCCAAGTTTATTAGAAGGCAACATTATAGTGTAATATGCTACTAAACCAGTGAATAGAAAAGGGTTACAATAAAATTCAAGATCATCACTCTTCAGGTCTTTGGCATTACTAGTATTTCCAGTAGTTTTACGTTTCACACAGTGTTTCTTTCATATAGCCAGTTTCCAACAGTTATATGAAAAGCAAAAAGTAATTTTAATTATTCCAATCATTTCCAAGTATGTTTTGCTAATTGCCTGGATGTTGGCAGTGTAACATACTATATGTCACATAATATTGAATCCAACTCTGCTTTCATTTAACCAACATTTAAAAAGCATAACAATATAATGGTTAACAAAATGGGGACACCAGGACATTACTTTTTAAATCTTAAGATATTTGTAAGTGAACAGTGTTAAAATACATATTTTATGGCACTAATGTATATAATAGTTAATTGTAGGAAAACGTTTTTTTTTTTATGGGTTGTACACTGTGGTAACCAACATTCACCTGGCTGCAGGGACCACAAGCTTAATCAGCAAAAAAAACACAACTTAAGCAACATTGCTGCAGCGTTGGGGTGGCATGGTGGAGCAGTGCTTAACATCACTACCTTGCAGCTCTGAGGCCCTGGGTTAAATTCTGAACCTGGGGTGCTATCTATGTGGAGTTTGAATGTTTTCCATGTGTTTGCATAGGTTTTCTTTGGGTGCTCTGGTTTCCATCCATAGTCCAAAGACATACTGTTAGAATAAATGGCTTCTGGGAAAACTGTCCCTAGGTTTGAGGGTGTGTGTTTGGGTCTCTTACCTCAGTTATGTAGCATACTGTCAAATGCCTATATGTTGGTAGGTCCCAACGAATCACTATTTGGTCTGTGTGTGATCTTATCTGGCAAGAATGTCGGTTAAATTAAAATCATACAGATATAATGTAGCCCCCCAGATTCAGAGGGTTTTCAGGACTGAAGGGCTCAAGGACACACACCTTGAATTAAAACTGGTACAAACAGCACCAATTTATGGGAAAAATAGGTTCACCAACTTAAGAGATAAAACAACTGTACCATACCCAGCCCTACACCAACAGATCTTCCCATAAGCAGATGGCCTGTCCAAATTTACATCCTCTGTTGAGAGAGGGGACTCTAGGAGAGAGAGCTTCCTGAGAGCTACAGCAGCTATACCCTGGTGCTCTACCATGGCTCTGGTACCCATAAGGGAGAGGAGAGGTGATAGTTGGTCCTCTGCTTTGAACGGTAGAACAGAAGCCATTATACTATTGCTGTAGTGTCTTGAGGCTTTTCAGCTACCTTTAATTTGGAAGTGTGGGTATGCAGTGCTTAATAAAGTGCTTGAATTCCTTAATGTGTTGAGGTAAGTCAAAAGAACACACCAACCTACTGAATTGTGTAGACTGGGGCAGTCATCAGCTGATATTTTTTCAGTTGCAATAAAAAATGCACATAATGCATCATAGTAATGCACATACACAGATCCAGTAAGTAGGTAACATCTGTTTAAGTATCACTTTACTGTATAGGCTCCCTTTGGAATCCAGTAATGAATTCTCCTTCTCACATATGAGGCTGTGAAGGATATTACTACAGTTTACATTAGTGGCATGTCTTTTATAGTCTGCAGTGTGTTGTCTATGATTTTGTAACTTACCCCCTTTTTAAATTAATCTGTGATGATGGTGCATTCTGCTTTTATACATCAAGGCTGGAATTCTCTTCCAAAAGTGCTTAAGGGCCTTTTGTTATCTGAAAGTCTATATTTGTGCTCTTTTAGAATCGTACTGATAACAGTATATGTTTTAAGCGTTGCATTTTCATTAAATATCTTGTATTTATTTTGTAATGGTAAAGGTTGTGTTTTTACTTTATATGAGATGAGACATATAAAATTAAGTATTTAAAAAAATATTTTAGAATGAAGAATTAACGTTCTGAAACTTTCGGAAAAACAATTTTCTTTTTCTTTCTCATCTTAACCACTAGATGTCACTAATGTCAAACGTACTCCTGACGCATATCTTAAAAGTATCACTCGGAATCCGAGATATATTTATGCTTTGCTCCTAATGTTTCAGGGATAGGCCGTGCTGCTCCGATCCTTACCAGGATCTTGCTAATAACGTATGGATGTTTGGATGTCTCTCAAAACAACCTCCACCAGTCCCTAAACAGGTCGAGGTGGTTCACGAGAAAGAAAACGTCGTCCACAGTCACAAGCTGGTTTCATATTCTTTGACGCCCGGTCTCTTGATATACAGCAGCAATTACTCACCTGCACTGTAAATGGCATCTTGTGATGTCCTACCAAAGTGCAGACGTATTTGAGAGCAACAGGCTGCCGCAAGTATTAACTTCACGGAGCTTTAAATGTGGGCGGCTACTTTAAACTTTGGTTTAACGAAGAAATGATTAATTTCAACAAGAAAGTGTATTTCGATATTTGATCTGTTGAGGTATAATTGAGTATTATCCTCCTGTAAAGAACTCGCAGAAGGGATTTAAAAAAAGATCAAGGATGCTTGGATATATAGTGAACTACTAAAACTTTAAGTAGTATTAAAACTATACAGTTTACAGAAGGGTTTTGTTTGATTAGGTCAGTCAAACGGACTACTTTGAGCTGGATGATATAAGTATGATTTATTGGTGCCACAAGTATAAGGCCAGACGTTAAGATGCCACACAGGGTCATGTGGAGGTCCGGAAGGATGCTCACCTCACGATTATCATTCAAGAAATGGCAGGAGTAGACTGAGACCGACGAACTACTGGAAACCAAAGAAGCAGGATTCTTTTTTGTCTGTAGCTACTCTTATGCAGGTATCTCAATTGTAACCGACAGTGTATAACCAATTCTAAAATGCATGTGCTTCAAAAGAAAGACTTTCATTCATAACACATAAAGTGTTAAGTAAATCTAAGTAATGTTTTTTTTTTATATCTTTGAGGTTTTACATTACATGTTGGTAACATACTAGTATATTAGTACAAAATGTACTCTTAACAGCAAGGGCTTTGCAGTTGTCTTTGTCAAAAGGTACAGGAAGGTCACAGAGCAAGATCTGTAATGTTTACGACTATCAATCCTCAATATAGTTATTTAAAAGCTACTTTCAACTTTGACCGCTAAAATAGCTTAACTGCTCTACGACATTTGCTGCTGTCTGGATGTCGTAAAATATTTTTTGTACTTGCTTTAATATTCCAGTTTTCCAGGGTTGTCTCCAGGTTGTTTTCCAGGTTATCTGGTTTTTAGAGAGCAAGTTGTGTACCGATATTGATGCTTTTACATATTTACTTTCTGCAACTGAAAACACTAAAATGGCTCGTCTTTACGCAAAAGAAAAGTAAGTAAGCAAACGCTGCGTTATATTATGTACCAGAACAGTCCACTAGCATTCACACATCTGTAAAATGGTCTTCGTTATTGTTTTTAGTGTATGAGTTTGGGTCCTAACAATGTTTTACCAAAGCGGTTTCAAGCGTTCAAGTTTTTTTTAACAACGCTGAATGCTTTTAGCTTATTTTAATAATTAGAACAAGAAGATCTCGAGATGAAAATAATACGATCACACACCTGAAAAACTCTTCACAACCGAAACATTACGTATTTCTTCTTTCTTTTCACTTTTGCGGGATTAAAGTCTTCTTGTTCCTTACTACCCGCACACCTCCACACTACAGCCTTTTTTTTTCAACATCCGGGTGAATATGCGCAGACTTTGAAAAGCAGGTGTAAAAAAACACAGCACGTTCATGGTTTCGAAATAGAAAGTTTCTGACGACTTTTAGAATATGTCGTTTTCTGCTTGAATAGTTCCACCTTTCCTGAGGGGGGCAGTGTCGGAAAACGAAAGATGTTTACACAAAGCTCTTTTCGAAACAGCCTCCCACATTTTAGACCCTCCTCTTTAAGATGTCACCTTATGAATATAAACAGAGTTCCGCTGACGTAGGATGTCTGTCGACATTCATTTAATATTCCCGCATATAATTTTATAATTAATGAGGGACTGACGCGCCCCCCTTTGCTTTTTACTTACGCTTGAGTTTCTCCTGCCACAGTCTCCATGATGGCGGTTTCGGCAGCTGCCGAGCGGCTCTGAGAAAAGCAAGAAACGAACCAACTGGATTTACAATGGCGTAAGACCCGGAGTGAGTGGCCAGCCTGCGCAGTTTTGCTTCTGTATTATTTTTTTAATTAACACATTAAGTGTATTTTCTTCGTTATTTCCACTCACGTAAAATGGAAAGTGCGCGGGCTGTGGTGTTGGACGGCAGGTTGGCACTGGATGGCTCTTCCACAGCGGTCGGGACAGCTGCTTCGGACTCTGAAACTGGCAAAATAAGCCATGCCGGTAAATTGAAGAAAGGATCCAGCTTCACCACCGCTGGTAGTGGGGCTGCAGCGGCGGTGGATGATGGCGGAGGCGGCGGGTCGAAAGCGGAGAGTGGGGGTCTCCGAGGGACATCTGCCCCTCTCCTTCACGTAGCAACCAGCAATGGAAATCATCAGGTTCAAGCGGCCACTGGTAAAACTAGTACAAATCCTTCTCTTCCTGCAACCACGAGTGCTTCAGGTTTGGCCAGTAACACTAACTCACTGCTGCTTAGGAGGAGACGACTGAAGAGAAATCTCTCGGCTGCAGCTGCAGCCTCTGCCTCTGCCTCCTCCGGGAGCCACATGAGCTCCGCTTCGTCCTCCGCCCTGAGCACACGGAGCCTGGATCGAAAGATGCTACTGAGGCACCGTCAGGTCATGCAACTGCAGCCGGCAGATCGGGAATGGGTGAGAGCGGACCTCCAGCGGGGTTGCTTACACGTCCACGACAAACTTGTGCCCTCGTACCTCAGGCCAGTTTTGTGCACACTGGAAACCAGCGCCGGGGAGATAGCGCGGCGGCTGAACCAACTCGGCAGCAAAGGAGGAGCCGTGGTGAAACTGGTCGGCAAAGGGAGCCCCACGACAGACTTAAACGGCACCTGCAACGGCAGACGGGTGGGCAGCGGTGCCCAGCAGAGGCTGCGCTCCCCCAGTGCCAGCCCGGAGGTCGTGGAAGTGGCGGACGGTCCTGACCAACTTGGTCATTTCAACTCCGCGAAACATGCGGAGTGCAGGGAAGGCCTGGCATCCCCCCCGGGAGAAAGGCTGAGGTTGCCGCTGGCGGAGAGCAGGAAGAGCCACAAGCGGCAGCAACTGGAGACTGATTCTTCCAGAGTAAACCCGCAGTCGGAGCGGAAGAATTTTACCAGCCCTTCTTCGGATACCAATTCAAACGCCGACGTCGACTTGATGTCACCTGCCGCCGATGCCGCGCTTGTACGCGGCGCAGAGGAAAGTTGCGGACCAAACTCTCCTTCGGATGTGGACAGCAGCACCTGCGAGGAGCTCAGCGCTGCGGCCCAGCTCGCCGACCACCGGGACTCGTTCAGCGATGGCATCATCCTGGGTACGGATACGTCCACCAGCCTCAGCCCGAGCTTGGACAGCGCACCGGAGGGGCTCGACGGTTTCGGGAGTTCCTCCGACGAGCTGGATCTGGACAGTCAGCTGCCCAGCTCCATTGCCCAGGAGTTGCAGCAGGTTGCCCGAGAAAGCGGCAGCGCCATCTCGAATAACAACAACGCAGTCGGCAACAGGCTGTGCGGCTGTGAGCTTCCCAACGGAGCGGTGGCTGACCGGGGACCAGGCGTCAGACACGACCCGCTCAGCTCGGCCAAACTTCCCTGTAGCGGCGGCCAGTGTCAGCCCAGGCCCAGCCTGACAGGCAAGGGCGCCGCCAGGCACACCTCCACCTGGACAGCGGAGTTGGGGTCTGACCGCTGCTCCTCTGCCCCGACATTGTACGTCCAGCTGCACGGCGAAGCAGCGAGGCGGCTGGAGCCCGAAGAAAAGCCCCTTCAGATACAGAATGACTACCTCTTTAAACTGGGATTTAAAGACCCGTGGAGGGTGCAGGAAGAAGGGATGGACGCCGAGATAGGCTGTATGATACGTTTCTACGCAGGTAAATGGATGATTTGGAAACATTTTTACGTCGCATAGCCAGTTGTGTTTGTAGTTAAATGGGTCGCATTTTTTGGCCGTTACGAACAGCTTTAATTGTGCGCGGCAGCTACAGTTGTATCCCAGCCAGAAAGAAGAGGGTGTTTTTAAGTTTGGCGAGGTTTGTGTTCGACCTGGGCCGAGCACTGCCTTTCCCGAGCTGCCGCTAGTGTAAGCCTAGACGCCTGCAGTACCTCTGTCATTAATAAAAGATTAACTTTTGCCTGGGCAGCCAGTGGGTCGTCTTGGTGGCCGATCGGCTTTTTTATCGCCGCGGCATCTGGAGGCAGCAGGTGCAGGTCGCTGGCTCCTGGAAGAGACCGTGTAGACGTGAGGGGATGTGTAGTTTCATTGTCCGGAATTTGTATTGAATAACTCAACTCACGCAATCCAGGATAAGTCAATTTGCATTTGATTTCAGTACATTCCAGCAGAATGTGTTTTAAGACTTGTATTTATTGGTGTGAGTGTAGGTTAAATATCAGTCTTCTAAAATCATGCTTAAACAGATTTAAATACATTAAAATAACGAGACACCTGACAAACCACAGAAAGTTTATACTTGGTTGCAAGGATTTAGTGATGTTGCACTCCGGAAGTTTAAGCAGTGTGATTCATAATGTCATTGGAGCTCTGTGTACTTTCTCACTGATCCAGTCTTTTTAAAAGAGTTTTAAAGTTCATTCACGGAAGGAATAGTTTATTGTATGGATGAGTACACAGAAATTGTGTCCTGTTTAAATTTGTGTAGCCAAATTTGTTTTTAAATGGATAATAAGATCATCCATTTGTAGTAGTGTATAGAATAACTGTAGAAGGTAATCCCAATTTAGATCTTTGCAGGACTCTTTTGTGGGTGTGTGGAGGTTTTTCAGAAACCATGTTTTAACTATGAACGTATTCTGAAATGTGTTGTGGTTGCTTTAGATTCTGCCCATTATTGCTTATTGCCGATGTCAAAGTTCCGTGTTTGCTTTGTGGTTTTAATTTAATCCACTTGTAAAAGGTGAGGGATAAGAAAGTAGGAGAATAAATCCCTTTAGGCCTACATGTCATGTGAAACTAGATTCGTTTTACGTGATGCCATTAGCTATGATTGATCTTTTAGTGTTCATTAGAAAATAATATATGTATAAAAACAGTCATATAATATAGTAATTTCTAACTGTTCTCATTTGAGACTGCAGCAGTTTCTACAGGCATGAAATCTGTGAAAGTCAAAACTCATTTATTAATCACTGTAATGAAGTTATGCTCAATTAATTTTCTGTTGTCTCCGTTTAAGTCATTTGCTTTCTTTGGTCCAGTCAAGAGGTTGTAAAGCCTAAGTAATGTGATTCACTATTCATATTGCTGTTTTTAAATCTGTAAATTAAACCCATTTTGAGTTTTTTTAAATGTTAGATCCGATTCAATAGTCACAGGAGCAGATATCCTGCGTCTTTTTTACCCAAGCAAACCGAAATGCAGTATTAATATAACAGGTGTGTATTGGAGATGATAATTTGTGGATCGATATAGTTAACAGGCTGCTCATTTTAAGACAGGACATGTTACTCTTGTTATTTCTAAGGGCCAGTTATTGTAAAAAGGGCTGATGCCACACTTATAAGCACCAGTTTAGAGAGCTAGTGCTTAGCAGACAGTGTTTATCTGCAAACCTCTTGTCAAGTCTGACATCCATTTGAAATGACTGTTCTTGGAAGCCTTGTGCTACACATGCCTAGGATTCCTAGAGAAGCAGATAGCCATTGGCAGCAAAATTATAGTTATTGAAGAGAGAACAGTGACTTTTATTTGGTGCTGACACCTTAATAGATAACATTTGCCATCAAAGGTAGTCAACACAATAACATTATTGTACAAAAACATAGTTTAGTAAGAATTTACTTTATTGCTTTAAGATTTTTTAGCTACAATTTTTTTAGAAGATTGTAATTTTTGCTTCATTCCTGTCCGATTGTCATTATCATTTTATCTGTCATCTGCTTTTTTCTGTTTTACGTACTCCAGATCAGGAGTTTTTGAGGAACGTGGCCCCCTGCTTCAGGGTGGTGGTGGGGTAATGAGGGGCAAAGGACTTTTTCCTTGGACCCGGACTCACTTTTGAGCTCCTTACCATTTGACATAAGTGTGAGGCACATAGTTATTGGAGAGTAAGCATTGATTGGTGGAACAATCCCACTCTCTCGCTGACAATACATTAAGTTGACAATTGCCCAGCAGCTCCCAGAGTTCGCAGTTGTGTGGTAGAGAAACTATGTAGGCTGCGTTTACTATCTTAGGGTAAAGGCTTTAAGTAGTTTTTACAAAAATGTGTTCTTTAAGCAGGGGTCATCTGCCTAGACACTACCATTCCATTCCAGATTTTGCTCCACCTAATCCTTAATTATTCTGATAATTTTCTGATTCTGGGTTTATTAAGAAATTAACAATTTATTACTCAATTTATTTATTGAACAGTTCAGACTTTACCAAGGTGGGCTACTTTTCTCCTAGGGTAGTTGAATTGTCTTAGTGGTTTAGCTTTTAATGTGCTTTTTTTAATTCATCATCTGGTGCAGACCTCAGAAAGTTAGTCATAGTATGAGAGAAGTTAAATTACTTATAGAATTAAGAGGAGGACAGAAGCCATAAACACTGAGCTCTTCTGGCACCAGATTTTGAGGGTAAAAGTTGCAGTATGATGTATGTGAATCAGTGTATTTAAGTAAAATACTTCTTGGATCCTAGTTTTACCCTTGGGGCTGATAATTTTCTCTGCTAAGGTGTCTCATCACTCAGTTAGTTCTTGCATTTTGTAGAACTATTCTAGAACTTCTGCAGCACTATATTTGTTTATGTATATAAGAAAGTCCTAAATATGCTGTACTATGAATACAGTTGCCTATGTGATTTAAACATTTCAAGCTTATTAGCACATACAACCTGTTCTGATACCACTGCACTGACTCTGTGGCATTTTTAAAGCTCTCTTACTCACACCCAAAGCCCTGCATGGCTTAGTTCTGGTTAACCTTAGTGACATGCTCTAAGTTTACCCTCCTCATAGTTGATCTCTAGACTCTGCTTATCTAATCATTCCTATTTCAAAATGTTGAAACTTTGGTGGTGATGCATTTTGTGAAGGTGGAATGTCCTTCCTAAGTACATAAGAGATGGACTATGTCAGCACTTTTAAATTCAGTCTGGAAATGTTAAACTCCTGTATTTCCTTCTGGTTCAGTTTAACTGTCTTACTGTTTATTGATGTTTGTTTTTGTTTATATCCGTGTCTTTTAGTGCTTTTAATGTTTCTCACATGCGAATTACTAAAGTTATAAATACTTCAATGTGTATATTTCTTATGTAAAAATCGATTTTTTTCCAGATAATACTTGTTCAGACTTGACAAAAATGACTCCTCACTCTTGCATGCAGATAAAATGTCAAATGTAATCATCAGATTTGTTATTGATACTTGCTTCTCAAATCAGATTCATTTACGAAACATGCTAAATGTGGTCATAGGGCATTGGTAAAAAAGTATAAATAAAACTTGGTATAAGTGAAACTTTCTCAGTTGTATTACACACAATTATATAAGTTATATATACACTATATGCTGTGCATTTCTTCACACTTCACAGTAATATATGTAAATTGAGGGTCAAGTCTAGAATAATATTGGTTGGTCATCCTAATTGTTCTGGCTTCAGATTTGTTCAATTAATATGTGGAATACAAGAAATCAGCTTCTCAGCCTATCAAAAAAGACATCCTTAAATGTTGGCAAGTATTGCGATTTAAAAAAAATTGCTTTCTTGCAATCTTTATACAGTAACACATTGTATTTCTGAAAAACCTTTAGCAGCTCTGTGAATCATGGAAAATTAATGTCCAAGTTCACCCTCATCTTTAGTTCTGAGAAAACTCAGGCCAGCTTAAGTGTTAATGAATACTCTGAACTTGCAGACCATCTTTTAAATCCTCAGAAGTCTCAGGAGTCAGTCATTCAGCAACACCTAGTCAAGAGCAGCAAGTGGCAGTCTAGACTAGATAGTTCCCAACATTTTCAGTCACACGGCACACCTCACTGAGACCATCCAGTAGCAGACACACTTTTCCAAGCTGAGTTGATTGCTCATAAATGACACATTTGCTGCGATTATAGTCTAGAGAGATTTGCAATATAATGCATAGAACAAGATAAACATGGATCACACGCATTGACGCTTCAGATCCAATTCAGAAGACAATAGGGAGCTCTTTTCAGTTTCATAATGTGTAACTGTTTTCAAGTTTTTAAAATTTAGATTTTAAATATATATATATTTCTTTAATAATTGAAGTGATATGCAATTGTAATTCAATGGAGCAGAGTAAACTGTAAAGTTTAGAAAGTCTAGGAAGTAGCATCTTAGTGGGTTAGTGAAACTCCTGGGCCTGCAATTGTGCACAGAGTCTTTGAATATTGGAGGAATTGATGAGAGAGTCAGCTGCAATCCCTGCTCTGCTGACAAGCACTCACTCCTGTTGTATTTAATTTATTCCAGTGATGAAGATGCATTTTTTTGGCATGTAGTTGGGGAAGAGGACAGCAATAGCATCGTAAGAGACAGTCAGATAATCATGTACTGCATTCAGCTAACATGCGTCCAAAGACAGCTTTTCAAAATTCTTCTCTTTGCCATGTCATTGTGAATCCATCTACAGCACTAGTTTTTCCTTTTTTTCATTTAAAGAAAATGTGATTAGTGTTTTTTTTTACATGTACGCAGGATTAAGGTTTCGCCTGTGGTACAGTGCTTCTTTGATTTTGCAGACTCCCATTGAATGTCAAATTAGTTTGATGTTTTTTTGTTTCAAGTGCTTGAAGTACTAAATGTCTTTGATTACAGTATAAGGATGTTTTGTCTTCAGATGGCATTTTAACTGGGTACCACTGCGATATTTGCCATCTTAATGAAATGTTCAGGTAAG